GTTTTTTAATTTGTTTGTAAAATATGTAACACATACTTTTTAAAAACTATATACGATATCAACGAAAATACCCTAAGCTACAATATGAAACCAATGTTTCTAATTTTGGAAAAGTGCAGCGAGTATATTTAATCTTTATATTATACTATCAAAGTTACCCGCATTGTCAAAGATACCCCGTTTTACGGTATATATATTTTTCCTTAAAGTCCAATCAATTATCTACAACGTCTTCTCTGACACAATTTAGATAAGAGAAATGGCTCTAATGTTGGCCTATGGATCTAAGATTGGGCCCATCGCTAAATATCTGCTATTTATCAATTTGATCTAGATAAACGCATCATTGGGATGGTTCTTATGAAAATTTTTGGTCGCTATTGAAAATTTAGTCAATTGCTGAATTTATTCATGGGTCCAAATTAGGGGCATTTAGGCCGACATTACATCAATTTCCCCTACAATAAACGGTTTAAGAGTTAGAATGTGTGAAAACACATACGCCCTTTTTAAAGATTAGTCTTGAGTCAAAATAGACTCGTGCTCGGTGGAAAAATCATATATCATACATCTCAAATTCTGAAAACACGATGGCAGTTTCATTGGGATAGGAAAGAGTTGTTCCAGATTTCACCTGGAAATTCTCTATAACTTCACGCTCGACTCGTCTCTCTCTGTTCTCTAGATAGTCATAGCAAGCAAGCTAGCAAGCACGTGATTGGTTGATTGGGGCCAAACAATTTGATAAATTTTCAATAGCTTACTAATGATAAAATACTATAATCCTTATACCAATCGAAATCCATCCATAAATTTCCAAGTTATAAGCTCTTAAAACCTGACACTTTTTCTCCACAATTTTTTTTTTGATTTGCACCCCAGTATTGTCCTCAAAGACGTAGTCCTACGTCAAAATTAATTAATCATCTTATTTGGGGGATGGGAGTTTTATTCTTAAAACTCCAAGGGGTGGTCACTCTACACACGTATTTTGCGCCAATTTTTTTCTCAGTGTGCCGCAGCTGTGCCGGCAGTGTCAAGAGTGTCATCAGACTGATTTTTTGTTTGTTTAATGGTATGTTTGGCAACCCGGTTAATTTGATAGTTCACTTGTTTAGTTTTGTTTTGAAGAAACCAGGGTGCCTTCCATTCATTTTGACTAAAAAAATGCTTTTAAGAAATTATGGAATAATAAGATATTATGAACATATTTTGATTATGTTAACAACAAGAAAAGATTGTTAAGTTTGTGTTTGACACATAATACCTGCCAATTTTGCTACATGAGAGTCGCAATAAGCGATTTTGTAATTTATGTCTCCCACTCTTCGCTCTTCACTCTTCGCGAAGAGGCGATCAGAGAAACGCTCATTGTGACTCTGTCGCAGCTAAATTTGCAGGTTTGATGAGTGAAGCACAAACTTTACAATCTTTTCTTATTACTTACACATACAAAATATCATCATAATATCTTATTATTCCATAATTTCATAAAATATTTTTTTAGTTAAAATGAATGGAAGGCACCATGGAAGAAACAAAACAACAAGCAGTGGAATCCTATCCCAGATCCTAACTGTCGTGACTCTCGGTTCGTTGCTCCCAAATTCTATCGGAAAAGTACCACACTGAACCTAATAAGCAACGGCCTTGGCCAACGAATCGAAGCTTCGAGCGAGAACGTTCTCCGGGGGAGGCATTTCCATTTTCCGACAGGACAATAACTTCTACAGGATTGGAGTATGATGAGGACTTGGATGAACCACAGGTGTCGGTGGTAAGTCGACGAAGCGAGCGTGCATCATCCAGAGGAAACTGGTCCAGATGCTCTTCTGATTCTGATGAACGCTTCCGGGAGGAGTTTCTCCCGAAAGCCATCGACTAAGTCAAAAATGCGTCGCCAGTGTTCTAGTGGGAGTTTCAACCGGAATCAGACTCCCTTAGCGCTCCCCAACTGATAGCTGAGACCTTTTTATATTGTGTGGCCAAAGATGTGACTCTAAGACCAGAAGCTCCGGAAGAAACGTGCTCAACTTTTTGGCTCTGGTACTCTATTCGGACTGTCAAATACAAACAATCGTCGCCTACTTCGCATAACTGGTTCCAAACGACAACAAAGCCATAAGCAACGGTGGTTTGTTGATTTTGGAACCAAATTCACATATGGAAAATCAATGGGCGTAAACAGGTGAGGCCCAGTAAATTTATCGTCTCTATCGTTCTCCGGCTGATTAAATAGATGACGGAGTTGACGTCACACTCCTTCAACCGTTTAAATAGCGGGAGCACATTTACATCTCATTGCTAGATAGAGCAGAAATTAGGGTGTAACAGCTTTTGTAAACAATGACTTGTATCGATGATTTCTAGGAATTCAAGGCACATCCACGCAGACCATCCTAACCATCGGATAGGGGAAGTCTTTCCCTACATGATGAGAATGTTGGTTTGCGCGGGCGAGCCTTAAATTTCTAGAAATCATCAAGAGAAATCATTGTTTACAAATGATTGATGGATTTTCATTAGGCCGATTTGACTGCACATCCCGCCCTGAACCTCAGCGAAATTTTTCACTCCTACGTGCAATATTTCAAAAGTAACAATGATTTAAAGGTGTCCGGATTAATGTGGATACAGACCTTAAACTTAACTTTTTGCACATAAGTCGAATCGATTTGCGGTCTTGGACAAAGATGTTATGTATACCTTTGTTTTAATCTAAAACTCAAGTTTGGTAAAAATTTAGTGATTTTTTTTTTAATTTTTGACAGCAAGTAAACAGTTTTGGTTCGTTTTCCATACAAATTTTAAAGCTTACCGCAAATCCAAATCATAACCAAATGGGGGACCTCAAAACGAATCGAAAGAGCAATGGGTAGCAGGGAATTGTTAAGTTGACCCTCCCTATAGTGTCCACTCTCTTCTATTGATTTAAATGTCGATAACTTTCTGACCTAATCAGCCTACTGCTTCCAGGGTAGATCTTTGACATAATAGACTGAATTAGTGTGCATCATTCTTCACACTAAATACACAAATGTTGGTTGCATCTACAGTTGAGTGATCATGTACAGGGAATCAAAAATATCTTTATCATTTGTGTAAGGCAAACAATAAACGAGCTAAATGATCATATAGGGTCGGTAGCTACCAGCAAACAAGATAATGATGTTTGTCATCTGTCTTCCAGTACGAACACAAAGGAATGGGGACATTTCGTTGTCACACTCACAGAATCCGATCATTTTGTGTCACCACAGTGCGTTTTCTTCCCAATAAAGGTCATTCAGTTTGTTAGTTAATTGATAATTTACTAGACGTTCTTATGATCAGTGGATTTCGAAAAAGTTAAAGATGAGATGTCCTATAAGCACCGACGAACCAACGTGACAGCTTATGCAAGCTACTATCAAATTCGTGCCCAAGACGCCAGATTTGAAACACGTTAAACACTAAATACCGACATCTACTCATTCTATCGCGTCATACCATGAGCAAGGACACGAGCCCACGTATATTTTATATTGCCTTGGTTTGCGTCTCACCTCGTTTGACAGATCTGATCGCCCGTTTGAAAGTTCGAATCGTTCCGTTGACAATTCGAGTTGTGGACAAACGAAATGCTCCTGTGGCATGTCGGTTCGTCGGTGCTATAAATACAGATACAAATCAAATACAGCAAAAGGCTAGCCAAGACGAGTTGCAACCGAATGAGTATTTCTAATCAGGACCTGAGTAAAATAAGTCGTAATTAGCAGCGTAGGTACTTAGATCTTCTGGGGGAAAATCTCACTCTTCGACAGCACTCGGGAACGAGCCTGGGTTTGGATGACGGCGATAAGAGTGGTGGAACGAGAAATTTCCAAATAGCACTAAGAGCCTGTTAATATACTCTCTGGCGAAACGCAGTGCCGGCCAGATAACACCTGTAAAAGCTGGGGCGCTGTAGATGGTAGAAAAGCAAATACCGGTGAAGATTTTACTTCGAGTGATCATGGAATGTGATTTCATCGATGTCAGTTGCGATGAAGAATGAATCAAGGAAGTGAATGTCTGAGAGCTAAACCTATCCTGCCAACTCACCGATGTCAACTTTCAGGAGCTCACCTCCAATCTCAACAACTGACCAATCAACATCTTACAATTCCACTTAACCTCCTTCCGCTTTGATTTCAGCTCCGTCACGAATCTCCCCACCCCAAATTGATCTACCAACGTCTTCAACGTTCCCTTCACGTTCTCCTTCAGGGTCTCGCTCTCCCCACTAACCAACTCACTCATCACATTTCAAATCGGCAGCAGTTCCTTCATAGTCATCTTTTCAATCAGCTTCCGGAACGATGCCACCCCCTTCGCAACTTCGATCCAACTGTTCTGAAACACCAAAGCCTTCCGCACCAGATCCTTGAACAGTTTGGTTCTCCGATCTCGAAGTCTTCCTATAGCGACTCCAGCACCATCCGAAAGAATTCCAGTATGACCCCAAGATTACAATTGTACTTGGCAACTGTCGTCACCTTGATGACCTCGCCTTCCTAATTTTTTGAAAATATGTGCCCTGTGAGGAATCCATGGCAGAACTTCGCCGGAAATTCACGGTTGAAGTAATGAAATCAAAAATTGGATTGTGTTAACAATAATGTTTACCATATTGACACATGCACAGAGCAGGCGTAGATATAGTACAGTGTTGTCAGTAGCTTTAAATTCAATCATGAAAATTGCTAACCATGGGTATGGAGTGACCAACCCCTTGCAAAACTCATATCTTCAAAGGATAAAGTATGTCATGTCCATCAACTTTGCTATGGATGTGATCACTCTAAATCCACGTTTTCATGGTGCTATTAATTAAGAGCGTGACATTTAAACCACTCACTGTGTGCCGACATACGATAATAAATAATAAATATTCAACTCATTTGTCAGTTACATAAAAATGCCTAATTTATTATATTACAAAAACACACCACCTATTAACTTTGTTTCGCCCCTTCCAGATCGAAGAGAACAGCGAAGCCACCCTAACGGCCGGTTCGGAAGCCGTTCAGTGGGCGGACGGTTTGCTGCTAGTGTATTCCATCACCGACCGTGAGTCGTTCAACTACATCCGCAAGGCCAAGGAGGACCTCCCGTGTGACACCACCCCGGTGGCACTGGTCGGCAACAAAGTGGACATGGTCCACTTGCGGCAGGTCAGCACTGACGAGGGTGAAATCCTTGCCAAAGACTTTGAGTGCAAGTTTTGCGAAATTTCCGCCGCCGAGCATGTGTACCAAGTGGCCGAGGCATTCCACGACCTCTGCCGAGAGGTGATAGCGGCCAAGCGGAAGTCGAAGCAAAGTTTCATCGACAAGATCGACCGGATGCTGAGCGGGTCACGGACGTACAACCGGGGCAAGAGTGATAGCATTTCACCGAAGGATTAGCAGCCACATCTGGCTGTCCGGTCGGGATCAGGTTCTATACGTAATGTGTATTATTAGCCAATTTAATAGTGCGTTGAGGATTGGGCTCTCATCGGTATTAATTGAAATTAGTTTTTATCTGTTTGTTGATTTGCGTAGCAGGTCGTGGTGGGTGGGAAGTGAGGTATTTACCAGAGCTACAGCTGTGTAGGATTGCGATATAGAATTAATTTATTTGAATTTATTTAAGTGCCTAGATAAATAGCAGCAGCGGTCGGAGTGGGAACTGTGGATAATCAATACACCGAGGTGTTGCAAATAAAACAGACAAATAAGTTTGATTAAATATTTAACCGAAGCGTTCTTCAATGTTTGCGATTGTGAAACCCTGGAATTGAAAACATCTGGAGGATTCAAATGGAATTTCCCAAAATTCAATAATTCAAAACTTACTCTCAAAGAGCATCCCAGTTGGGTGCAAACAGCGGAATCCCATTGAAAGCCATAACGTTCAATAGTAATTTTCGACTTTCACCTGGTGTCGTCGTCTCGAGTGCACTCAGCAGAACCGTTGAAAATCGCAGCCACAGTACCTATATTGTGGATAACAATTTTAAAGGGTTTCTGCCGATTCTCCGCTTCGCTCCTCATTCGGACACAGGTGCGGACACAATTTGCGCGCGGGTGGATGATTTTCGCGGAAAACAGAAGGGAATCTGACCGGGTAGGTGCAGTAGTGGTCAACAATGCATGCAAATAGGTGAGTGCGTGGGTGTGTGCAAAAGCACCAAGAAGAATACCACCGGATCGGGAGGCGATGGTGGTGATGGTGGGATGCAATCGGAAGGTGAGTTCGGATGGAAAATTTTATCCTGATGGTTATTTGTTTGGAATTTTGGAAGTATTTAATTGTTTAAGCCCGGTTGGAGAAGGCGTGGGCCGTGGCAATTTTCGGGTCAACAACAGCCGGGAAACGATTTCCGGACAAATGGGATCGATCGGAATTCAATTTTCAATCGAGCGAAAATGTTTAATATTTATGAAGTCGGTGCGCCGTGAAAATTGGTGGAAAGGTGAATATGTTTGCGGAGTTATGAGTGGGGAATGTAGTGAGAGGGAGGAAAAGAGAGTTGAGAAAAAATGTGAGGTCTTGTGGTTAGTCGATCCATTGATGTGGACATTTTTCACAAGATTTTGTAAAGGAGTCAAATCGAATGAAGTGATACAAAATAAAAACCCGGGATGCACGGGATTCTAGGATTTAGGACTATCTGAACTTACCTTTGAAGATCTTTAATTTTACACGAAGTTCTGGACAATTTTGTCATTATTGGAACTACCCTGATATTTCCAAAACTTCTTTGATGCTCTTGGATCTTCCATAAAATTATAAGAATTTCTTGAAAATTTCTGTTATTTTCTGAAGTAAAACCATAAAGTTCTCAAAGGTTTTCTGAAGTTCTTGGAACATTCATAAAGTTTCCGCAATTTTGCAGTTCTTAAAACTTCTCTGAACTTCACGTAACTTCCCTTAAGGTATCTAATATTCTTTGAAGTTTTCGGACGACCGTCTTTTATCTTGGAACATCTATTATATCCTGGTAATTTGCCTGAAGTTAATGTTAATGCAACGGCCCTTCAGTTCTCCTAAACATCTTCAAACTTTCTTGATGTTTTCTGGACATCCTGAAGTTGTAGGAACTTCTGAAAAGTTTTTTTTTTAATTTTTTTTTTAAATTTAATGGATCTGTTCTGAAATTTTGTGACCTTGAACATAAGGGACAAAAGTATAAATCATCGTGATTTGTTATTCTATTGAAAAACATGCAATTCGCTGTTACTTTATTGAATGTGCATGAGAACTTTGAAAATGTGGGATGCTTGTTGCTCAACTATTCAAGGTTTTTCAGCATGGTTTTGGGATTAATTGGATGAGCCCTAAAGAAGTTTGATTAATTTCAGTTCAACGCTTCCTTTTAGCATGTCCTTTTGAAATTGGAATTTTCTTGATAACAAACCAAAAGATTGTTTAAGATTGTTTCTGGAATTTCCTGAATTTTAGAAACTTCTATAAAGCTCCTGCAATTTTCCTGAGGTACCGTTAAACGGGGTGAAGTAGATCACTGCACCTTTCAATTTAAGTTTCTCAACAATCCTTTTTCATGATATTGTTATATTATATTGTTTTCAGTATTTTATTAAATAGTTTAAAATAATACTTTTGGAACGGTGCCACCTTAGGATTCATTCTACCACTCTTAATGAACAATTTTGTGGAAGTGATAACAAATGCAACTTTTAATAGTTCCTCAAGGTGAATTGATGTGGAAGCCCTGTTTCTGATTAATCTCATTATCACATCGAAATTTCTAATGCACAAATAGTGCAATACAGTAAACAAGGAGTAGCAATTTCATGAGCGTCGTCACAACGGTGTCCGAGATTTGTGCGCTAGAAAATTTAAAGTGATAGGACATATTAGCCATCATGACGGCCATGTTTGGACTTTTTAAGGAATGACTTAGGCAAGGTGGGGCAATTACTAGGTGGCTAGGTGGCTAGGTCGTGAGGGACTTTGTCAAAAGCGTTAGTCCACTTGCTGACGCTTCACGATGCTACCTATAAGAGTGTTCGTGTAAGTCATCAAGTTAGAGACTGTCGAGCGCTTTTTCATGAATCCATGCTGAAACTCTGAGATTACGGGTTGAACAGCTGGATACAACTTCTCATGCAGAAGACTTTCGAGAACTTTGGCCAAGCAGTTCAGGGTCGAGATAGGTCGGTAATTTTCCACTTTGTGCATGTTACCGGACTTGAAGATTCCAGGCATCCGAAAAAACGCCATCCTTAAGCGATCGATTGAAAATAGACATAACGGGAGTGGCCAACGATGCTGCACAGTTCTTGACGAAAGACGGTGGAATACGGTCCGGGCCTGGACCTTTCGATGGATCGACTGAGCAAAGGGCTTTTAGAATAGCGTCTTGACTGAAGATGAGCTGCTGCAGGTGAATGTCGTATCTTGGTAGCAGATCAATGTATTGCTGCGGTGAAGGAGTTTGATCGGGTTCGAAAACACTTCGGAAAAAGTCAGCGAAAAGGTCAGCAGAAGCATTGTCGGTGGTGGAGCTTTTACTACCGTAGGTGATGTCCACGGGAAAACCAACTGATCTTTTTCCGAGAGTTGATAAAATACCAGAACGACGATGGATTTGTCTTGAAACCCCTCTGGAGGTTGTCGACGTACTCACGAAAGCGAGCTTCCTGCAAACTATTATACTCTGCTTCTACTAGCTGCACCGTATACTTGTTTGCTGCGGTCCGTGAACGAAAGTAATGTTTTCGAGCTTTACGCAGACGGTTACGCAGATTATGCAATTGCGGATTCCACCAAGGTTGTTGGAATTGCAAACAAGATTTTCATGTCTTCACCGGAACAGTATCTTGGATTACTTTATAGATGTTGTCGTAGAATACGGAGACTGCAGCATCAATGGTGGGTTGGTCAAGTATTTGTACCCAATCCAAGGCAGCAATCCTGGTGTTAACAATATCGAAATCACATTGTGCAAAATTATACTCACTGCGGGCTGCTGGGTATGGGAGCGGATGATCTCTCGAACGGGAGTCAACTTTTAGAACCAACGGCTTGTGGTGACAATCAACTTTCATAATTGCTGAGGGTGGTTGAAACAACTCGATGCAATTGGAGTAACTGACGAGAACCAGGTCAAAAAGCTTACCATTCGTATTAACCAGATCGTTGATTTGCTTCAATCCAGCAGACAGTATGGACTCCACTACAGCGAGTTCCTGTTCTGATGAAGCATTGAGAGGCAGAAACATGGTGAAACATACTTTACTGACAATTTTTGGTGCACCCTTCTGGTGAATGGAAGAGCATGCTTTATTGAAAATTTCTGGTGCAAAATTTGCATCGCTCTGATAAATAAAATGAACAGAAAATTTCTGGTGGAAAACTTGCACTGGTCTGGTAAATTAAGGCACAAGCTTTATTTAAAATTAAGCTACATTGAAAATTTCTGGTGGAAAATCTGCACCGTTCTGGTGAACGGATGGGCAAGCTTTTTGAAAAATTTTTGGTCTTAAATTTGCATCCTTCTGCTGAATAGAGAAACAAACTTTAATAATAATTTCTGGTGTAAAATTTGCCCGATTCAAATGATTGGAAGGAAACTGCTTTACTGAAAATTTATGATGAAAAATCTGAAAATAAGGGCAAGCTTTATTTGAAGGAAAACCTGCAACATTCTGATGTATATTGAAAATGTCTGGTGCAAAATGTAAAAAGGAAATCTGCACCAACAGAAGATTGGAGAAGCAACTTTTATTGAACATTAACGGTGGAAATTTTGCGACCGGAACGGTCAATTGAAATTTTCTGGCGTAAAACTTTCTGGGGCAAGTTTGTATTGAAAATTCCTGGTGTAAGATTTGCAACAATCTGCTGCATGAAGCGGCAAGCTGAATTAAAAATTCCTGATGGATAAATTGCACAGTTCTGATGTGTGGAGGGGCAAGCTTTATTGGACATTTGTGGTAGAAAAACTACAACGTTTTGGTGAATGGACGGACAACTTAAACTTGGCTTCCGAGAAGAACCTCAAGGGTATTGAATTCTGAGGACAGTTTCAAAAGAAAAGAGTTCTGGGGATGATTCCATGAAAATACTGCGAATAATTTTTAGTGAATCAGCAGACAGTTCCAAGATAATTTCGAATAGAATACCGAGAGAATTAAATTTTTGAATGAAATTTCATAGGGATGTTGAGGAAAATTTAAAGGGAATTCCAAGAATAATTTCAAGCTTATTCTGGGAAGAATTTCTGGCGAACACAGTAGAAATTCTTCTGAAACTTTAGGGGAATTTCAGTTCCAAGGTGTTCTGAGAAAAAAAAGTTCTAAAATATTCCGAGAAGAACCTCAAGGATATTGAATTCTTACGACAGTTTCAAAATATTTCTGGGGATAATACAAAGAAAATTTTGCGGATAATTTCTAGTGCATCCTGCAGATAGTTCAAAGAGAAAATCGAAAAAAAACCGAAAAAATCAAATTTTGAGTAAAATTCCAACGGGATTTTAAGCAAAATTTCAATTGAATTCCAGGGATAATTTCCAACTCATTCCGGGAAGAGTTTCTGGAGAATACAGAGGAAATTATTCTGAAACGACAGCTCAACAGAAACGACATTCGGCCGTAGGAACGCTTTAGATTCCGTGTAGACCACGCAGGTCGATGAATTCGGATGGGAAATATCATGGGGAAGTGGTTTACTACGATGGCAACGTGATTGACATGCTGTACACCATTTCGAATCAGACGCTTCCAT